ATACAGCCCCAAGGTCGGGATTTGGGACCCCAAAAAACGGGATTGGGGGCCCAAAAAATGGGATAAGGGACCCCAAAAATGGGATTGGGGACCCCAAAAATGGATTGGGGGCAAAAAAAATGGGAGTTGGGACTGAAAAAATGGGATTTTTGGCCCAAAAATGGGGTTGGGGGCACCAAAAAATGGGATTTGGGAGCCCAAAAATGGGATTTGGGACCCAAAAAATGAGATTTGGGGCCCAAAAATGGGGTCAGGGGCACCAAAAATGGGATTTGGGACCCAAAATATGGAAGGAGACCCCGAAAAATGGGATTCAGGACCCAAAACATGGGATTTGGAAGACAAAATATGGGATTTGAAATCCCAAAAATGGGGTTGGGGGCACCAAAAAATGGGATTTGGGACCCAAAAAATGGGATTTGGGACTGAAAAAAATGGGATTTGGGACCAAAAAAATGGGATTTGGGAGCCAAAAAATGGGATTTGGGAGCCCCAAAAAAGGGATTTGGAACCCAAAATTGGGGTTGGGCCCCCAAAAAATGGGATTTGGGATCTCAAAAAATGGGATTTGAGATCCCAAAAAATGGGATTTTGGGACCTTGAAATTGGGATCGGGGTCACCAAAAAACGGGGATTGAGACCCAAAAAATGGGATTTGGGACCCAAAAATGGGATTTGGGATCCCAAAATGTGGGAGGAGACCCCAAAAAATGGGATTCAGGACCAAAAAATGGGATTTGAGATCCCAAAAATGGGATTTGGGACCCAAAAAATGGGATTTGGGACCCAAAAAATGGGATTTGGGATCCCAAAATATGGGATTTGGGAGCCCAAATGAGGGGTGGGGTTTTAAGGAGTGGGTGGGGCTTAATGGAGTGGGCAGGGCTTGATTAGTGGGTGGGGCTTAACGGAGTGGGCGGGGCTTAATGAGTGGATGGCGATTCAGTGAGGGGTGTGGTCTTATGGAATGGGTGGGGCTTAACGGAGTGGGCGGGGCTTAAAGACTGGTTGGCGATTCAGTGAGGGGTGTGGTCTTATGGAATGGGTGGGGCTTAATGGAGTGGGCGGAGTTTCATTGAAGGATTAAGTCTTACAGAATGGGTGGGGCTTAATGGAGTAGTGGGCGGGGCTTGATGAGTGAGCGTGGTTTCATTGAGGGGTGGGGTCTTATGGAGTAGGTGGGGCTAAATGGAGTGGGCGGGGCTTGATGAGTGGGCGTGGTTTCATTGAGGAGTGGCTTTTGAGGAGTGGGTGGGGCTTAATTCAGTGGGTGGGGCTTAATGAATGGTTGGGGGTTAAAGGAATGGGCGTGGCTTGGGTGGGTGTGTCTTGAGTGGGTGTGGTTTGGGCGGGGCTCTGTAGGGGCGTGTCCTCCCTCTTTGAGCCCCGCCCCCTCCCTCCAAGCCCCGCCCCCTCCCTCCCCCCCAGGGCCGGACCGTCCTGAGCTCGGTGGTTCGTTACGACCCCGCCCCCGCCGACCACGCCCAGTCTGGCCCCGCCCCCCAGGCCCCGCCCCGCCCCTCGGCCACCATCAGCCTCAGCGTCAGCCTCAGCCACGCCCAGGTACCAAACTGGGAGCACTGGGACGGACTGGGAGGGAACTGGGGGGGATTTGGGAGGGACTGGGGGGAACTGGGAGGGACTGGGAGGGAACTGGGGGGGATTTGGGAGGGACTGGGAGGGACTGGGTGGGACTCGGGGGGACTGGGAGGGGATTGGGAGGGACTGGGAGGGAACTGGGAGGGACTGGGAGGGACTAGGAGGGGCTCCACTCTGAACTGGTGTTACTGGTGCGAACTGGTGTGTACTGGTCTGTACTGGCGTTTACTGGTCTGTACTGGTGTTACTGGTGTGAACTGGTGTTTACTGGTCTGTACTGGTCTGTACTGGTGTGAACTGGCCTGTACTGTTGCAAAGTGGTCCGTACTGGTTTGAACTGGTTTAAACTGGTGTCTTTCTCTCCCCCAGGACAGGGGGTGTGTTACTGGTCTATACTGGTTTTAACGGGTTTTAACTGGTGTCTCTCTCCCGCAAAGCGAGGCGTGTTACTGGTCTGTACTGGTTTTACTGGTTTATACTAGTTTTAACTGGTCCATACTGGTTTTAACTGGTGTCTCTCTCCTGCAGGACAGGAGATGACACTGGGGGTGTGTTACTGGTCTATGCTGGTTTTAAGTGGTTTTAACTGGTTTATACTGGTTTTAACTGGTTTATACTGGTTTTAACTGGTCTCCGTGTCTCTCCACAGGCCAGGGGGTGGCACTGGGGGTGTGTTACTGGTCCATATTGGTCTATACTGCTTTATAGTGGTCTATACTGCTCTATACTGGTTTATACTGGTTATACTGGTTTTAGTTGGTTTGAACTGGTTTATACTGGTTTTGACTGGTGTCTGTGTCTCTCCCGCAGGCTGGGGGGTGGCACTGGGAGTGTCTTACTGGTTTTAACTGGTCTGTAGTACTCTAGACTGCTTTATACTGGTCTATACTAATTTGTACTGGTTATACTGGTTTGTACTGGTTTGAACTGGTTTATACTGGTTTTGACTGGTGTCTGTGTCTCTCCCACAGGCCGGGGGGTGGCACTGGGGTGTGTTACTGGTCTATACTGGTCTATATTGGTCTATACTGGTCCATAGTAGTTTATACTGGTTTTAACTAGTTTATACTGGTTTGTACTGGTTTGAACTGGTTTATACTGGTTTTGACTGGTGTCTGTGTCTCTCCACAGGC